CTGGCCCCTAGTTTCGATTTCAACAGCTTCTCTTTCTCCGGTTTCTTCCCCGCCATCTTTTTGGATTTGTTTACTTTTCAAAAATGTTGCTAAAGTCTCTGATATTCACCCAAATGCTTTTCTGCACTCTGGTAAGTCTCTTAAAACAGTTTTAGTCGCTTACTTTTCCGCTCCCCCCTCTTTCCTTCCGTGTTTTGTCTATGCGTTTGGGAGGGATCCCTCCCCCGCACGCTTTCCCGTCGCTCTTTAAGGGGGGCAGCTTCTTTTTATATCTTCATGCTCGCTTCAACCCGACTCACAGATCGTTGTTGGCCATTTGGCCTCGCTCATCACCTTTTATTTTGCCCAATCTCCAACGCTTGTCACGGTCAGCAGCACTTGTACCATGCAGTCACTCAGCGGCAGGACCTTCGGGGCGGAGGGGGGCCTCAATTATCTGGCTTTCAGCCATCGAAGAGGTTGCCCCTCAAAAGCCCCCTGGCTGGGAGCCTTTTACCAAGGCTCCGGGGGGTTGCCCCCAAGTTTTGGTTTCAACAGGTTCTTTTTCTCCGGTTTCTTCCCTGTCATCTTTTTGGATCTGTTTACTTTTCAAACAAGTTGCTAAAGCCTCTGATGTTCGCTCAAACGCTTTCCTGCACTCTGGTAAGTCTCTCAAAACAGTTTTAAATGCTTATTTTTCCGCTCCCCCCTCTTTCCTTCCGCGTTCGTCTATGCGTTTGGGAGGGACCCCTCCCCCGCTCACTTTCCCGTCACTCTTTTTAGTGGGGGTAGCTTCTTTTTATATCTCCATGCTCGCTTCACCTGACTCACAGTTTGTTGTTGGCTATTCGGCTTCACTCATCACCTTTTATTTCGCCCGATCTCCAATGCTTGTCCCGGTCAGCAGCACTTGTACCATGCTGTCACTCAGCGGCAGGACCTTCAGGGCCGAGGGATGCCTCAACTATCTGGCTTTCGGCCATTGAAGAGATCGCCCCTCAAAAGCCCCCTGGCCGGGAGCCTTTTACCAAGGCTCCGGTGGGGTCGCGACCCGTCGGACCCCCTCCCACACGCTGGTGTGCAGTTTACATCCCTGGGGCGTCTGGGAGATGTGTCTGCCTGCATGTTGCCATAAACTGGAAGTCTTTCTCCAATGATGTTTCTGTGGTCATGTGGCCAGCATGACTAGACGCCAAGGTGCACGGAATGCTGTTACCTTCTGAACAAAGCGGTACCTATTTATCGACTTGCAATTTCTTGCTTTCAAACTGCTAGGTTGGCAGGAGCTGGGAACAGAGACGGGAGCTCACTCCATGTGGCACTCGGGTCTTGAACTGCTGAACTAACGATCTTCCGGTCTGCCATTCAGCATCTTAACCACTTGAGCCACCGCAGTCCTTAAACCGAGTTACCCCTATCAAAACCCCTTTGAAGTTCATGGGCTAAGACACATGCAACTCTCTCTGGGATTGCACTGATAAGTGACTATTTAGATACATACTAAGTCAACAGTGCACTATTCAGAAAGCCGTTGCCACCTGATGATTTCGTATACACACAATTTGTTCCTGCTAAATAGCAATCAGATCATTCAATTTTATAACAAATTGGTAAATTGGTGTCATCTGTGAGTTCATTGGGTTTACATTAGAGATTAGGGTGGCTCTGTCTCAGAGGCAGGAATACATATTGATTGAGTGATGGCAGTAATGGATTGGGAAATTGAGTTAAATTATCGTTATTGTGAAATCAATAACCAAAACCAAACAAACTCACATAAAGGAGGGAAAAAGATAGAAAAGCAAGCTAGTCTCTTCTGACAACTGAAGATTTCGATGCCAATTAGATTTGCCATCTGGGAAGAAAATGCAGAAATAAATAAAAGGGACTAATGTTTACCTTAAGTGCCTCTAAATAAGGATTTCATTTAGGTTTCATAATGGAGTGAAATCCGGAGACAAAAGAATAAATGCATAACACTGAAGATCTAATCAGTCTGATTTCATTCTAACGTGGAGGAATAAACAGAGAAGGGAGGGGGAAAATAACATCTGCTCACGTCTTAATCTGGTTTATGCATTCTTCATGAGGAAGTGTATCCAAATATTTGAAAAGAAGCTCTGACCAACTCATTCATCAGCAACCAGGCACACACATACAGTGGAAAACCTGTAATTAATGGAGGTGATTAGAGAACTAATAAGATGTAAATAAATGCTCTTGGCCTGACCTCCCTTGAACTGGGTAGGAAGAGACGGGCAGGTAAAAACCCCAAAGGGCAGATCTCATCAGGAATTCAAATATCTGCAGTGTGGTGGCACATTGTTTTTCTCTCCTGCTGGATAAAAAATGAAAATTCATAAAGTGACATTAATTTAAGCAAGGAGACTGTAGAGCATTGTCTTTCCTGAAAGCGCTGGTTATTTTGGTTTGGAGGAGGAGTTGCTGGTACTTCTGTTCTGGCCCAAAGGAGCCATGTTGAGTGTCAGTAGTGGAGGTGCCAGAAGAGTTGGTGCCCGCTGCCTGCGGCTGCCCGCTCTCCGCCCTCCTCTTTTCTTACGAACTGTTTTGCAATTAGTGGGCAGAATCCTATCTCAAAGAGGCGGCTTCTGTTGCTGGTCATGGGAAAGGTTCCATCAGCTGGAAATTCCACTGTTTTGCTTTTCTGGAGCCAATGGCAGACGTTGGAGTGGTTCCCAAGAGACCCTGGTACTGTCTGGCTTCTGTCACTCCCTTCCACCCACAAGGAACATGAAAGTCTACGCAAGCATCTGTGCCATGGTGCTCCTGTTTCATCTTGCTGTGTGCACCCATATTACTGGTCCAGAGAGCACTGACTCCCCAGCTCACTGCTGCTTCAGATATTCATCAAAGCCAATCCCACTCAGATTACTGGCAGACTACTACAGAACCAGCGAAAGGTGTCCTTCCACAGCTATTGTGTTTATTACTAGGAGAGGCCGGGAGATTTGTGCCAACCCCACAAAGAGATGGGTCCAAGACCTCGTCAGTCGCTTGGAGCAGAACTGACCAGAGCAGCGATGGAGCCACTTCCAGTGAGGCCAAAGGCTCGTGTACGGTTTCCTGCGAACAACTATTTCCACAATAAACAATGATGTTTTACTATTTAAAAAAAATGTTGAGTGTCAGTAGCCTGGTAGCTACCAGCTCTGTGTATATGTATGGTGGTGTGAAGTGCCATCAAGTCTCAGCTGACATATGGTGAGCCTGTAGGGTTTTCAAGGCAAGAGACATTCAGAGGTGGTTTGCCATTGCCTGTCTCCACATTATGACCCTGGCATTCCTTGGTGGTCTCTCATCCAATACTAATCCAGACCACCCTTACTTAGCCTCTGAAATCTGATGAGATTGGGTTAGCCTGGGCTAGCCGGGTTAGGGTTGTGTATGTGCATAGAATATATTCTTTAGAAGTAAGATCACATAAACACATGAATCTGCCTTTTTTCTTTAAAATGACTAATGCTATAACATATAAAGAGAATATGTATAAGATGTTTTATAGATGGTATATTACACCTGATAGACTGGCTAAGCAAAATACTAACTGTTCTGATAAATGCTGGAAATGTAAGAGTAAAAGGGGCACATTTTATCATATGTGGTGGCTATGCGATGTTACAAAAAAGTTTTGGAAATGGGTCCATAGTTTGATGGAGAAGATACTAAGAGCAAAGATTCCATTTACTCCAGAGGTCTTGCTGTTGAATATATTTCCAAATGATTATGAAAAAGAGAATAGGTATTTGACTGTTTATATGACGACAGCTGCAAGAATTTTATATGCCAAATATTGGAAAACTATGGTGATACCAACAAAACAGGAGTTTGTGAATAAACTTTTTGAAACAGCAGAAAATGATAAACTGACTTTAGAAATGAGATTAAGCAAAGAGTGGACATTTCAAAAAACATGGAAAAAGTTTTATGATTGGTATAATGTAAGTACAATAGAAGATTAGGCAATTATGGCACAATGGACTTGAGAAGACAGAAGAATGGAAAGTGATAGAGCGTTTCTATTAATTAAGTAATTGGATATAAGCATATAATGTAACTGTACTCTTGGTATACATGTTATGTGTAGTAGAGTGTCTGTTTGTAGTGTGTAGATTTGTTTGTTGTAGATTATAAAAGAAAAATTAATAAAAGTGTACCTATGGGTACTTTTTTTAAAAAAAATCTGCCTTATACTGAAACAGAACTTTGGTCCACGAAGTCAGTATTGTCTGCTCAGACTGACAGTGGCTCTTTAGGTTCTCAGGCTGAGGTCTTTCTTATCACCCCCTTCCTTTTGACTGGAGGTGTTTGGGACTGAAACTAGGATATTCTGCATGCCAAGCCGAGGCTCTTCCACTAAGCGACAGCCCCTCCCACAAAGACATTCGATATAAAAGAACAAAAGCAGTGCCATGCTGGATCAGAACAGTGGCCCATAGTCTTGCATCCTGTTTCATACACTGGCCAAGTAGTTTCCATAAAGGGCTAACAAACATAGTTCAGAGGCCTCCCTCTGAGGTTGCTTCCTAGCCCTGGTATTCAGAGCTTTGCTGTCTCTGAATCTGGAAGTTCCATTTAGTCACCATGGCTAGTAGCTGTCAATGGATATCTCCTCTCTAAGTCTCTCTAACTCCCTTTTAAAAACAGCCATTCGGGTGGTGACCACAACATCCTCTGGCAGTGAATTCCACAATTTAACTACCTGTTGAGTAAAGAAGTATTACCTTTTTGTCTATCCTGAATCTACTATCTATCCTGAATCTACTATCATTCAACCTCATTGGGTTATGAGAGAGAGAAAGAAGCTCACTCTGTCAACTTTTTCTACCCCTTGCTAAGTTTTATAGATCTCTATCAAATGTCCCCTTTAAATGTCTTCTCTCTTAAGACAGAAGCCACAGACTCTTGGGGGAATGCTGTAACCTGTTCATCATCTTGGTTGCCCTCTTCTGCATGCAGCCAGACTCCCAAAGAACTTACTGATGATTCATTATGACACTGTTATGTAGCATTGTTTTCTTCCCAAAGTCCTGCTGTCTCTTAGCGCCAACTTCCTTTGATTGTGCCCTCACTGCCCTTGACCTCATTTTCCCTCAGTCTTCTGGCTGACTTTCACAACCCACTGAACTTTGTCCTCACACCAACCGTTGCATTGTGAGGTAACCAAATAGCATGATTTGCCACAGCCCATAGGCTTTCAATGGCAGAGACTTGAGAATGCAAGTTGCTTGCTCTGGGACAGCCCATTGATTTTAACAGTGCCAATATGGTGTAAATGGTTTGCAGAATACAATCATTTCCTGAGTTGTGATCAAGGTCTCCGCCTCAGGCTGTGACCATAAGCACACCTGATTGGAAGTGGATGCCATTGAAATCAATGAGACATATACTTTCAAGTAAATGTGTTTGGGACTCAGGTGTTAGGTTGTAATCTTTGCACCAGTTACTCAGAGATTCTTTTATTGGTTTTGATGAGAGCATGCTGAAATAAGCAGAGTGAAGAATATTGACATTGCAGGGTAAATGCATATGCATTTGCAAGCCCAGCTGGCCAGGATCTCTTTGACATGAATTTTAGATAGTAGCATACCACTATTGACTGATTTCATTTTCTTCACAAAACTGGAGAAAAGGCAAACAAGTTCAGTTTTATAGCATAAGGCAGCCATATCTCTCCTTATATATAATTGAGTAGTGGGGTGGCACTTTCTGAACATTCCACATGCCCCTAAATCAGTTGGCTCCATGATGTTTCACTCAGCAGCTGTCCCTATCCACTGGCTGTATTGCTTGAGTCCCGCCCACAGAAGCAGTGCCCACCAAAATTTTCCTCAGAAGATGTTTACTTCACTCCGGTGAACACAGCTACTGTCTTCGCTCTCCTTGCCAGAAGATGATTGATTCCCTCAGGGGACAAAACCCACTGTCTTTAGCCTCCAAGCCAAGTTTGCTGAGGCGACACTTTCTACAATGGAAAAAAACCCACCAAGTAAACAGCTGTCAGCATAGTGGAGGTGGCGGGGGGGGGGGGCCAGCCCAAGTTATCACAAAAAAGCCAGTGGATAGACACACAAGCAGAGATAGAGGATGGGACCAGACACACAGAAAAGAAGAAGCCAAAAACCTGAGGCATGCAGCAAAGCACAAATACAGAAACAGAAACAAGCAGATCTATGTTTGCAGACTTCCCAGTTGTAGAAATTACTCTAACAGAGCCCCATGTGCTGCATTTTCTGGCCCACATTGTGCGACCTTGGACACCAGTAACTGTGTAACATAAGGTATGTGAGACTTTACTTCCACATTTGTACCTTTCTATTACATACTGCTGATATGTATTTAACCTGCTTCCAGCCAATGCATTCCTTACACATGACATCTTTCTAGAGTTCGTTGTATTGCTTTTACAATGAGCTTTACTGCTAGTAGTTCAATAATCAGAAAATAGTGTTGTTCTTGTTGTTGATATTACTAGCATTGGATTAAAGGCTGTCCACAAATATCAATCAATCTATGTGAGCCCTCAGAATTCAACTATCAGTGAATTACTTCCATATATCTAGAGATGGTTTTATAAGTGGTTTCAGTTAAATCACTTAATACTTTAGGTTATATAAGTGGTTTATTTATGTATTTACAAATATTACATTTATGTATAGGGAACTGAAATGGTCTAAGCTTTGGGTATAAATGTGTATTACTTATATTAATGTGTTCTGGTCAATGACTGTAACAATAAATTTCAGTTTCTTCCATATATCATTGACGGTGTTGCGAATATTAAGCCCTCTTAATTTTGTAAGTAGTATTTCAACAATTCTAAACAAAGAAACATGCAGCTACATCATTGATAAAAACAACACAATTGCAGCAATTTTTTTTTAAGAAAAAGAGGTGGAAAGAGTTCTGTCTGTATTTGGTGTAGTGGTTAAGTGTGCGGACTCTAATATGGGAGAACCGGGTTTGATTCCCCACCCCTCCTCTTGCACCTGGCTGGATGACCTTGGGCAAGCCGTAGTTCTGATAAGAGCTGTCCATGAAAAAGAACAGTTTCTGTCAGAGCTCTGTCAGCCCCACCTACCTCATAGGGGAATGGAAAGGAGTTTGCAAGCCGCTCTGAGACACCTTTGGGTAGTGAAGGGCGGGGTATAAATCCAATCTCTTCTTCTTCTTCTTCTTCTTCTTCTGTATCACCAGCTCATAAATGTTTGCATCCATCCATCCATCCATCCATCCATCCATCCATCCATCCATCCATCCATCCATCCATCCATCCATCCATTGCATTCTTATCCTGCTCTTCCTCCCAGGAACACAGGGAGGTGTACATGTATTTCCCTTCCTCCATTTTATCCTCACAACAATTCTCAGAGGTAGGTTAGGCTAAGAGACAAGGACAGGCCCAAGGTCACCAAATGATTTTCATGACATGCCATGTAGGGATTTGACTCTCGATCTCCCCTGTCCTGGTCGAGTACTCTAATCACTACGACACACTGGGAATGGGAGTGGAATGGGGAATAAATGAATGGTGGGTTACTATAGATGAATTTAATTAATTAATTATCATATGGCAGTGTTTATAGTATAGCCAGAAGATCCTAAGATTGTTTGGCAGCCAGAAGTTCTAGCACTTTTAGCATTATGCACCACTAGGTGGTGACCTAGACTTTTTTTGAGGTAACAGATGTTTCAGAGGTGGTTTTCTATTGCCTGCCTCTACATTATGCCCCGTGGTATCCTTGGGAGCTTGTCAATCCAAATAATAGCCAGGGCTGACCCTGCTTAGCTTTTGAGATCTGACGGGATCGGGCTAGCCTGGGCTATCCAGGTCAGGGACTCACCGCAAGAGAATCTCACCACAGAAAAAGAATGCACAAGCACCCAGATTCTGGCAGTTGATCTTACTCCCTCGGGATGTACATGCAGAAAAAGATAGTTATTCTGGATACCTATTATTCACTCTCTCCTGCCTGGCAAGCAAATGGAAGAATGAAATAGCACTGCTGGGATGAGGTGAAGAACCAAAGTCATTGTTGTGTACTAGCAGAACCGCACACGAGGTTGGGGTGCCACGTGGCTAGACAAACTAGCGAAGCTTTGCTACCAGGGACAATAGAGTCCTTGGATCCTAAATCCTGCCAACCGGGTTTTAGGGATTCTACAGAGAACCTATATGATTGTAACTCTTGTATATAGCCTATCACGGGTGTGGGTGGGTGTAATGGGTGTGGTTGTAAACAGACATATAAGCAGCCTGCAGGCTAGCTACTGTATCTCTTACTTTCTGAAATCACTAAGTAAAGTATGAGCTGAAAATCACACTGCGATGCGTCAGTCTCAGTGCTTTACAGTCATGCTTTCATGAGATGTGGACAACTGACAAATCCCACAGCTTTCCAGGTACTTTTGTTTGCTCTGCCATCTGGTCTTTAATGGACAGAGAGTGGAAGCAGTTCCAGACCAGTGTTCACTCTAAGCTGAGTTAGTGTGAGCTAGCTCAGTTTTTTAGCCTCCGGCTCACACATTTCTGTCTTAGCTCGGGAAGGATGGCTGCAGAGCAGACTAATTTATGCAGTAGCCAAATCGCTCACTCACAACTTTAGTGCCGGTAGCTCACCAAGTAGAATATTTGCTCACAAGACTCCACAGCTTAGAGGGAGCATTGTTCCAGACTGTGCCCTTCCTGTAGGGATAAGATAATCAATTTGGTTAATGGTTGTGCTGGTGATGGTGGAATAGTTACCTCCATTTGCCACCTACCATACTAACTTTTATTATACAAACGTACTAAAGCAAGACCATCCAAATTCCTCTCTGGCAGAAAGCAAATCAATACAGATTAAGTCACAGTTTCCTAACCATTTGAGTTACCTATCTCTTTTGCTATGGATGAAGTTGTACTGTATAAGCATGAAGCATTGCTGCTCAGTGTGCTGAAACTATGAGGTGGGTGCCAGAGGTGCTGCCATTTCTCCAAAAAGCAGAATGCAACATCTGCCATCCCGATTTGGTGAAATCACCTCTGTAGCCGGCACAACCCTCCCCTCCCCTCCTTTTGTTTGCTGCCACATGCAGCACATTTGGCACTTGGGCAGAAAAAAACAACACACCTACCTTTCCCCTAAGTATTTTGGAGGGGGAGGGGGAATTATAATAAGGTTACCCCTTCTGTTGATTAACAGGAAATTCTGGCTTGAGTTGCAATCAGAACTGAATTTGTTAGTAGATAGCAGAAATCTTGTTTGCAAGAGGCCTAAGGAGTTAGGGTTACCAACTCCAGGTTGTGAAATCCCTGAAGATTTTGGGTGTGGAGCCTGGAGGCAGGGGGTGGGGAGCGGAGGGGTCTCAGCGGGGCACAAAGTCATACAGTCCAAAGCAGCTGTTTCCTTCAAGGGAGCTGATCTCTGTAGTCTGGAGAGCAGTTGTAATTCCAGGAGTTCTCCAGACCCTACCTGGAGGCTGGAAATTCTGCTTAGGAGCGAATCGTCTGGAACACTGTGATGGCCAAACGACCCTCTTCTACACAGGTTAGAAAGGCAAGAAATGATTTTTTTAGATACGAAATGAAAGATGAGTCACCCCCTCCAAAAGTATACACGGAAAGAGAGAGAGAGAGAGAGAGAGAGATGATAGATAGACAGATGATAGATGATTGATATATAGAGAGATGATAGATAGATGATAGATAAATGATAGAGAGATTATATATATATATATATATATAGAGAGAGAGAGAGAGAGAGAGACAGAGAGACAGAGAGACAGAGAGAC